CGAGCTGGAGAAGGAGATACAGACGCTGAATAGTTCGGAGTTTAGGGGTGGGTTTTGGGTTTGGGTTCGATTTCTTTCTTGACATCTTTTTTCTTGCTTTGTAGAGGCGGTCAGTGCGCTGCAGGCCCTGCAGCAGCTCGTCGACGAGGGCCACGAGAATCCGAATAATCTGGAGCGAAGTGTACTGAATCAGCTCACGCAACAGAGGGATGCTTTAAGGTAAAAAGTTTTTTTGAAGAGATTTTTGAAGAGATGATGGTAAACACTTGCATTTGTTCCTTCAGATTCGAAACCAAGACGCTCTTCAACCCGCAGTTTGGCAGCATCTTTCGGACCCACCACAACCCCACCTACTTCAGCCGCCGCCTCTTTCGCTACTCCGACATTTACATGTCGAAGATCACCAATCTGATGAAGTACTCTCTGAAGCACACCTTCCTCCCGCGCCGAGGTCTCCTCCCGCACGAGACGCGCATCAGCCAGGTGGAGCTGATTCACCGCGGTGACCTCACCACGCTGGCCGACGANCCGACGAAGCGGGCGAGGTGGGCAAGACTTGAGAGGAAGGTTAGATTAGTAACTGGTGGACTCTGGAATCTCAGGCGTTTTTAAGAACTTCCAAAAACTCCCAAAAACTCCCGTAAATCATGAGAATAAACAAATCCTTTGCATGAAAGTTCTATTTTTTTGTACGGCTTTATTACGTCTTCTGTGAACGGGAACCGCCGTCACACTCTCTCTCTCTCTCTCTCTCGTTTTGTTGACATTTTTTTCTTCAGTCCTTTTCTTGCGTCAGTGTTTTCCAGAAGGACTCCAAACAAACTCCACGCCAAGATGAATCACAACAATTATCACCACTCCCATCACCCCCACCACCATCAGCAGCAGCAATACAATAATAATAATAACCACACCTACTATCATCACCAGCCACAGCAGCAGCAGCAGCAGAATAATAGTCACCACCTTCGCCCTCCTCATCACCATCAGCTGCTTCCCCCACAGCAGCAACAGCATCAGTCACTGTACCACCATGATTCGCCGGAAACTACCAACACCAACAAGCGCAGCAACATTGACATTGAGGCGGAGATGAACAGGTAAGGAATGGTTTTTACAATTTTTTTACGCCTTTTTCTAACACCGTTTTCTTTCCCGACAGGTTCGAGAGTGAACTCTTATCAGTGTCACCTAATATTCTATCATCGTCATCGACAGTAGGTAGTGGTGGCGGCGGTAATGGACCTCCGCCGGCGGCCAACCAGTCGGTCGTCAAGCCGGCGATGCACTTTATTCCCCACCAGATTCAGCGGCAGCTGCCGCAGCAGAGTCGACCGACGAGCCAGGCCACCTTTGTGCCGGCGACGACGCACACCAGCGGTGGTCATCCGAGTAGTACCATCATCGGCGGCGGCCCTAGCATGAATCCCATCGGACAGGGTGGACAGCATCAGCAACAGCAGCAGTCTCAGCAGTCGCACCAGAACGTCAACTACACGGTGACGCCGATGCAGGTGCCCAGCGTTGTCCATGGCCTCCCCGCGGGCTCTTCAACTTCAGGTGCCGGTGGCAGCGGAGGTGGAAAGAGCGGCGGAAAGTCAAAGAGCAGTGATAAGGGTAAGTGATGCTTTTTGTTTGAGTAAAAGTTTGGCTTTTAGAACTTACCATTTTCCCCTCTCCTCTCTGCAGGAAAGAAGGCGAAGAAGGCGCTCCGCATCGCCGGCGGCCAGGTCTGGGAGGACCCGACGCTGAACGAGTGGGACCCGAATGACTTTCGCATCTTCTGCGGCGACCTGGGCAATGACGTCTCCGATGACGTCCTGGCGCGGGCCTTCAACCGCTTCGGCTCCTTCGTCAAGGCGAAGGTGGTGCGCGACAAGCGCACCAACAAGAGCCGCGGCTACGGCTTTGTCAGCTTCAAGAATCCGCAGGAGTTTGCCCGCGCCATCAAGGAGATGAACGGCAAGTACGTGGGCAGTCGGCCGATCAAGCTGCGGAAGTCCAACTGGAAGGACCGCAACCTGGAGGTGGTGAAGAAGAAGTACAAGGCGAAGGCGAAGCTCGGTCTGGTCTGA